TCTTGGATCAATTCTTTGGTACCGATTTAATCAGTGGATCGATTCCAGAGCCAAATATAAGATCGATCTTTCTCTGAAGATCGCCCAATCCTACAACTAACTTACTGATTACTCAATAATTTATTCATAGTTCAATCAAGTTGAAATCACATAGTCGAACTCAACGGTACGAAACGAAATCACAAGCGCTTCGTTGGCACCGTGCCGCATGGTGCCGAGCCGAAGCGCATCGTACCGCGTTCGGGTTTCTCTTTTAGTTCGATGACGGTGCTTTATCAAAGAAACCCAGTGCCGTGCATAACTGAGTAGGTTGCCACGGAGCCGTACCGAGCGGTGTTTTACCAAGTCTACTTGCAATTTTGATTTACAAAAGCTTTTGTACCGTTTTCAAATGTTACGCGAGATTTGATGTGTTTTGAAGCCAAATTCTTTACTCCCGACATAAGTCGTACAAAAGTGACTTTAGTAACTGAATTCTAAGAAATGAGGCAAATTTACTCATCGCTGAGTTCATGCACTTTTTGCGATTATGAGTAAACTGAACTCAAGTTTGGGTTGATATCATTGACCGTGTAGGTACAGCAATCCACACACTAGAAAAAGCTCGATTAATTACTAAGATCGAAGAAGACCTTCTGAAAGCCGCATTTGCACAGTTTATAGAATAATCAATTATTTCGTTTACTGTCTTAGTCTTAGTCAAGAATCTTAGTCAAGAACAGTGTCACCGTAGTCGACGCATTTTTTTTTGTGATAATTGACTGCCTTTGCTTCCGACACTTACAAAACAAGCTATCAAAGTACAGTACCGAAATAAAATGTCATATGGCAGTCTCTGTTATACGACACTGTCGCCAAAGACCGTCACGTATTTATATAGTTTTTTTTTCATAAGAAGAGTTACTAATGTCGTGCTTGTGTGAATTCTGAAGGATGTCCTAGTAATACTACTTCTGATCAGAAATGATTTAATTTACACAAAATTGAGAAATTAGAACTTTTTTCCCGAATGTTGTTCTACCGTTTGTGTTGTGCGAGAGTCGCCGGTAGAGCATAAGTGTACGAATACAAACAGACTGTCGTGCACGGGAAGAGAAGGGGAAATGTTGGCTACGGCAATGCCTTAACCTATTATCGCCAGGGGGTAAAAACAAAGTCCTAGAGCACTCAAATTTGGCCAATAGTTGCTCTGAAACACAATGTATCCACATACCTAAATTGAGCTCTCAAGGACGTTCTTTACCCCCTGACGATAATAGGTTAAGGTATTGCCGAAGCCAACTTTTCCCCTACATAAATTGAAACCAAAATTCCAGGGCTGTTACAAGATTGTCTAAATTTGGTCCGCGAAATCCGCGATTTCTCAAAAGAAATCCGCGACTTCAAATACTAATCCGCGACAAAAAAAAACTGTTTTCATACTACTGCATGGCATTTCAAGCTTATTACTTATAGCATATTAGATTTATGCCTTAGTCAGTAGTAAGTAATTTCACATTTTAATTGAGAGCTTTCTATGCCTGTACCATTCTATGCCCAAGGAAGCAGAGAAATTTTCCAACCCGGAAAATTAATAGACCGGACGGGAATAGAACTCAGTCGCCTCCAGCATGGACTTGCTTTGTAGCTGCGCCTTTACCGACTGAGCTAAAGCAGTATCGTTTGTAACATTTGAATTAAAAAAATAAGAATACATTGTATCATCTTTAGTTATTTATGTATAGTATACATTCTGAGTAATTAGTGAACATAATAAAACACCCTTACATTATGAGATTCTATTGAATAATACCGGACTAGATTTGATGAAACATTAAAAAAAAAAATTAATACATTTTCATTTGAAATGCAAATTTTCTTGAAAATTAACCAGAGACGTATTTTACTGTCCTAAATGTTGTAGTTAATTTGGCTCTAGTTTTCTCAATTTTTTACCGATTCAAACCAAACACCCTGCACATAATCGAGAAATTACCAAAATTTCAAAAAAGTCACGCTTGTTGGTCACGTTGCGGTTGTGTATTTACACGGATATTCCTTAGGGTTCTACCCAATGGTGAGACATTTTCATGATATTTTTTTTTATTTCTAATATGAACCTAGCACTTTTTGTTGTCAAATCATAACCGAATCGTATATATGTGACTTTGTGGATCATGTACGACTCATTACTGTGTATACCGGAAATTATAGGTTTTCCAAATCGTCCAGGACGTTGATTTGTTGTACTAGATCAACCAAGACTGCAATAATGTCTGTAGTATCGAAATATGTCCAATCAGATTCAAAGTGTTTCGAAAATTTTCGACAATTTTCCTTAGGTATTCTAATTATATAAATGATATAAATATTGAAAATTCCCTGATGTATCTGGATCAAACATAGAATTCTTGGAATACCCCAGAATTCCACGGAATTCCTTTTAAGTCTCTTTTAAGCTATCTAATCGTCCTGGAAGTACTCGGAACTTCGCTGAATATCATTAAACTATCTCAATTCTTAGTTCTTTGGAATTTTTTGAAAATATTTATCGCAGTTTAATAAAAATTCTCGCATTTTTTCATCAATTTAGCTAAATTTTCGCATTTGTTAAAGTTCTTTAAATATCCATGATATAAAATCCTTAAAATACTTTCACGTTTTCCGGTTGTTCATATAATTTTTATCACGTTCCAGAAGCTCTATCGGAGCTTTGCTGAAGTTTCCGGAACTTCAAGGTTTCTACAATTTTCTTGAAATTATTTGAACTGTCCTTTGATTCTCTGATCGGTCTTGATGTTCTCGCAGCTTCCCTAAAGCTCTCAATTCTATTGAAAATAAATTTCCCTGAATTTCTTTGGACTTCAGTGAAGTTTCTGAAATATTTCTGAAGTTTTCATAAATTCTCCGTACTTCCCTGAAATTCTCGGAACATATTAGGGGTTCTCAATTTTTCTAAATTTACGATTCTAGATATTTAAACTGCTCCAAGAAGTCTGAACTTAAGTCATGGGAACTGCTCTTAAGATCTGAAATTCCCCAAAGATCTCTAGATCTAGCTTTTCTGAGGTGCTTAGAACTTCTTAAAAATTTGCACAAGGTTCCTATAATTCTCAAATTTGCTTAACACCAGTAAGTTTCCCATAATTTCAGTGTGTTAACTTCCCTTATGTTACCGTAGTTTGGAGCATCATCATTTCCTTTCATTCCTCAGAACTTCTTTAAAGTTCCTACAATTGTTGTGAAGTAAATGGGACTGCAATGAAGATCTCTAATCTTACATAAAGTTAATTACGAACTAAAATAAATCATTTAATGTTTTCCTTAATTCAGGCACTTTGAAAATTTTCAATATCTTGAACTTATACATGAAATACGAAACTACAAGTTATTGAATATTTTTAGATCTTGGACTTACTCAAATTAATTACGTTTTTTTTTTACTTTATTAAAGTGGAGAAATTAAGTAAGTGCTAAACTTCAACATTCAATTGAATGAAGTTTTTTCTTTAAAACTCATTGCCATGTCTTAAAAACGTTTAGGTTAATTACTGTTGTTTTTTATCTTTCAGAAACAGCATATTTTGAACGCATTTAAAAATACCTTTCTTATTATAAGCCTGGAATTTATCCGTTAAAATTCTGGAAAAACCTGGAAAACTCAGGAAATTTTATTTAGAAAAATGAGTAGAGAGCCTGTAGATAGAGAAAGACGATTAAACGTCACAAAGCAAAGAATGTTCAATCTTGAAATAAATTCACGCTAAAAAAGTTGAAAATAGTGACTGATTACAAGAAAAAGTGACTTTAGTGACTTTACCCTTAAAAAGAGACTTTTTAGTGACTGGCTTGAAAAAAGTGACCAAGCCACTAAAAAGTGACTCACTACCAGCCCTGCTATATGGATAATGTTTAATTATTTCCACGTATACCAGATGAACTAGGTTCTCCAAATCGTCCTGCAGTTCAGATGATTTGTTTTACTAGATCAACAAAGACTACGATAATATCTGTAGTATCGAAATATCGATTTGGAAATTCTAGAACATTTGGCATGATCTACATAGACACTGCAAATTTGTTTGACATTTTTCGATACTACAGATATTGAATTAGTCTTGGGTGATCTAGTAGAAAAATAATCTGATCTACAGAATGATTTCAGAACCTATAACATCTTGTATACGTAGGTCGTATACTGCCGCTCTTCGCATGTCCGTCCCATAGCGAAAATCAGCAAGCCGAGAAAATCGCGTTTTAAGTTTGCTTCGTACCATATCTTCTTATGTGATGGGACAACCAATTTGACTGTATTTCCAAACTTTTTCAGAACAAAGTTGTAGGGTTGCTCCAGTATAATGAAAATATGGGTAATTATCTACCATTTGCATTGAAAAACTCAGTTTTGACAAAAACGACTATGGGACCGACATGCGAAGAGTGGCAGTATAGGTCAGGTACAATCCACATAGACACTTTGAATCTGTTTGGACATATTTCGATACTACAGACATTATTGCAGACTTGGTTGAAATAGTAGAACAAATCAACTAAACTCCAGGACGATTTGGAGAACCTAGAATATCCGGTATACATGGAAATTACTCCGTTTATGATTTTATAATGGAAAATGCTATGTTCATATTAAAAAAAAGGGAAATGTCTCACATTGGACAGACCTCAGGGAATTACCGTGTAAATTCGGTGTGACTTATGCAATTAAATCCTTTCTCGATTATTTACAGAGTGTTTAGTTTGAACCGGTAAAAAATTGAGAGCCAAATAAACAACAAAATTGATGACAGCAAAATAATCCAGGACGGGAAGGTTACAATGAATTCCACAATTTTTGTGACAGCACATCAGTCCCTCCGCGATTTTCGCGACATCATTTTGTTTCCGCGATTTTCGCGACTGAAAGTTCAAATCCGCGACAAATCCGCGAAAATCGCGAAATCCGCGAAATCCGCGCCTGAAATTCGAGTGCAATTCAAACGAAACAGAAAAATGTCCCTACTCACCCCGGGATGACCGCTGGCGGACGCGCGTGATGACCGGTTTCAGCTGCTGCTTGTCCGGATCAAAGTGGCAATCGAGCAGCTCGGAAAGCTCGGTTCTTTCGTCCTCCTTCAGGTCAGTGATCTTGGCAACTACCTCCTCCAGACCCTCGCGCTTGCGGTCGGTCCAAATTTGCTGCAGCGTGGCAAGATCGTGTCCGTTCTCGGCCAGCACTCGTCGGTACGTTACAGCCTTAACTCTGCAGAAGGAGCAAACATTTAAAGCAAATTAGATCAGCTCTCATTCTTCAGATTGATGATTAGGTAGGTTACCTATGGTAGATGGTCGTCTTAAAGTACTGCAAAAACACCGGCCGGAGCGAGTTCTGGCGGACAAGAATATTCTCCTGCTCATCCAGTTCGGAAATTTCGCACGTGATCGGTGAGGCCAGATCGCACAGGGTCAAGCACATCTGTTCCCGCTCGGCTTCGGTCGTGGGCCGAGAGCGTGGTTGCGGTTCCGGAACTGTCGTCACCTGACCAGTGACAGCGTCCACATCGGTCTGATGTCGATCGTCATCGGTTTTATTCAGGTTCGGATTGTCGTTCTCGTCAGCAGCCTCAGGTTGTGTGCATGGCTCTCCTTCCTCAGTTCCCTCGTCCTCTTGGCTCTCTACACACTCGGCTGTCTGCGGACAGTCGCTGCTAGCTGCCTTGTCGTTTTCTAAGCAAAAGAAAGGAAAATGGATGTCCACAATCAACGCTTTCAACTTGAACAAAGCAATGCCAATACACAATACACCAGAGCAAGAACAATAGCCGATACAAAATGGCACCACTTACCTCTGGACAAACGACGTGCAATTTGGTAGGCCAACCGGGCTCGATATGCCGCGTTTCCTTCGAACCCTTCCTTCGCTTCGTCCTTGTCCAGCACCAGGTTGGCCAGCTGGCGGATCGAGAAGTACTTGATTGTTTTGCTGCACTTGTCCTCGGCCAGTTTGAACCCGTTCACGAACGATTTCACCGTCGCGGTGAACCGATCCAACAGGTTGTACTTCTTCATGGCCTCGATCAGCATGTACGGTACGAACTTGCGCTGTTCATGATAGATCATCACGATACCCTCGGAACCTTCGTCCTCCTGGTACCGCGCCTCCAGCCAGTCGATAAATTCGTTCAGAGCCGAAATTTCCGTTTTTGTTTTCACGACCCGATAGGTCTGCATGCTCTTCAACATGCGGAAGAAACCAACCGTGATGACACGAACCTGGTGCCGCTGTCGGGCGGCCGGATTCAGGTTCATCAACGGCATAATGTACTGCGAGTACTGGTGTTCCGACGTGTATGCGGAGATCTGAACTATTTCATCGATCAGTCTACGACCCGTCGTATCAATGTCGATGCCAATCAAGGTGTACTTTCCGTACGGGAGGGGATTGGTATTGATGGAGACATCCGTTCGATCGAATTTGGACGAGAGGGCTCCGGCTGGACCGGAGTCGCTCTCCTCCGAGCAGCTTTCGTCTTCCACCACTTCGAATTCGGTCTCCACCGGTTTGCTTTCTTCGATTCCGGTCACCATTTTTTCCTTGCTGGGACGGAAAATTAACTTCCATTATCACAGTAGCCAGGCGTCCAAAATGGCGAAAAATCGTGACAAAAGAAAATCCAGGAAACTTACCAAGTTTTCGAAGCAATTCACTCTAATTTCCCAATTTATTCACTGTTTTCACGCACTAAGCGACCAGCAACCGGTATGCCTTTACTTTTGATGATTTTACGAGACACTTCGGAGTAACCTCCAGCCAGATGTCGATCTTTTGCTTGTTAATTTTGAAGTGATATGAAAGGATTTTCTCCAGCTCGATGCGATTTCATCGAAGGAAGTCGGTCACCCTCGCCGTTTGGCCCCTTGAGCGAGCAGTACTAGAATGAGCTACCAGGCAAGTGCATTTTTCACTAAGTTTGTTTGCGATTTTGATTATTTTTGATAACACTGATAACATATTTGATGCATCTATGAGATGATTTCCGAAGAAAAAAATTCCTATTCAATTAAATTACGAAATATTCGCTTTACAAATGAAAATAAACATGCGAAAGGATCAAATATTTGCCGTTATGGGCATAACGGCAAATATTTATTAGGTACATTGTTGGTAGAAAATCGCAGTTCGTACGTTATGTCCGGTGTCGATCTGATGTCGAGTGTGATCGAATCGACAAACGATACCAACTTGATGCGGAATTTGAGATGGGAATTGAGATTCCAATGAGTTCACACCTTGGGGATTAGTTCGATTGGTATAAGAAACTTTTGATATAAGTTGGGTAACTCGAGAATGAGATCCGGGTTTATTCCCGGGAAACTGACCGTCCGTTAAAGGGCAAGACGCATTCTTTATGAATTCTTCAGAATGTCATATATGCTTTGATCGATTTTCTTCATTGACATTCTCTTTTGATAGCCACGGTTATACACCAACCGGTGGACCCTAATAAAAATTGTATGGTTAATTTGCTTAACGACGTGTTCTGGGTATCATCCAAACCATTTATGGAATAGTTCAATGATTTGGGTTATCGTTCGTTTATGGTTATTTTTTATTAGGGGAAGCTCTCGATTTTAAATTGGCTCACTACTTATTGACTAGCCTATTGGTCCCAAGTACATCTATAAGCGTACACGGAGAAAAAAGACCACTCAAAATTTGAAATCTTTTTATTTATTGTCACGCTTATGTTAAATTCTCATTTGATTACGGTCGAAACGCGCCGCTCATAAGTGCGATGCAACCCCGCCCATAAGAATTATACACAGGTGTGTAACTTAGATAGTATTTTATGACAGCGGCTTGAGAAGCGAATCCTGGTCGCCTTGTTTTAAATCAATGACTACCATAAATAGAAAGCAGATGGTTTAATCAACATAATCCCATTCTGAGAAATTATCCTGCCACACACAATAACTTTGAGTTGAGTCTTTCACTTGAACCTGTTATTGTTGTCAATTGACAAATCCAACTTAAACTCCTGCGCGCCTGGTGGCAGGAATAAGCACTAACCGACGGTGATAAGTCTGTGACAGCCCTTAACAATTTCATTGATTGTTTGCAAAATTGTTTAATTTCAATGTAATTTCATGCAAATTTCTTGTCAGCATGGATGAACCTTGTACAAAATGCATAAAATTATTTTGTAATGCATTGTTCCTAAATAAAAAGCTACTTCAAGACAGTTAAATTACAGAAAACATGTTAAGGTTTGAAATCATCTGCCGATTAAACAGCAGATAAAGTTGGCCGACTAAATCCATCGACGAAAAACTATTAAATAGGCCGATTGCTCGGTGTAGCACCAGACGAAAAACGATTTAATCTGCTGATTAATACACCGACTGAAATTAATTTTTAAGTGGCAATAGATTTAGTCGGTGGACGAATCGGGTGATCTGGATGATGTTTGTTTATTTGGAAGATATTTTTGAAACAAACCACGATAAAATTCAGAATTATATACCATTATTACGAGTACTACTTTTTTGCTCGGATCATGTTTTGACTCCCACAGAAACTCGCTAGAATAAATACAAAATAATAGTTTTTTGGTTGAAATTTCAAAAATGTATTCAGTTTGACACATTATTTCGGACTTATCACCGCTGCGATTGGAGCGTCACGGTGGTCGATTGAAACATGGATTTGTCAATAAAGGAACGAGAGATGCGACCCAACGATATGGTTCAGCCCAATAAAGTTACTTTTGAGTAAATTGCATATTCTCAAATTAAACTTAATTTTGTGTAGACTACACTTAAGAGTAAGTAGTTTTTTTTTTTTGCTGGGTGTTAAATGGAAACTACTATATGCGATTTACTCAAATTTGGGTTATTGGGCTGAACCAGGGAATTGAGGGAAAAGTAGTTAATGTTGGGTAGTATTTCATCTCCATGTACCCCATCTCGTACCCCATTCTAGTCGAAATTCCAGTCTCTATTCCAGTACTACATTGTTTGTTTTGATTCGTTATGAAAGTTTGACTGATTAAATTGATAGTACCAGAGTCAAAGTTAAGCATGTTTCTTCGGGACCTTCTGGTCTTAGAATTTGCTCTACCAACAAGGAGAAGCTATTAAAGGAAAAATCTGGATAAAAATATAATACGATACATGGACAGATGATGTATGTTTAAACAGTATGTCTTCATGTTGTTGTCTTCATTAAGCAAGTGCATAAAATCACAGTTTAAAATGACGTTTCTTTGCACTCGAGCTTTGCGGTAGAACCTCGGGTAAACCAATATTATAAAAAAAAGTAGAAGGGTCTGTGCCTAGGGGCACGAACGGAAGCTTGACGTAGGACCGCTAGTGGACGGAACAAATGTGAACATTTAGTTCTTTTAATTGATCAATCATCAATTATCTTAACTCTTTCCGTTTTTTATTTGCAAGCGTATCAAATTTGTAGTATTTATTTCAAAGAGGAAGTTGATGAAGAGAATCCAAGGGACTGTCAACTTGAGTATTTTCGGTTCATCTACCCGACTTTAAAAAGTGTATTTTGAATTTTTTGTTATATATGAATTTTTAAGTTTTGTGCATTTTGGTATTAAAGAGTATTCAATTCACCCCGAGATTCACCCCTCACAGGATTTCCTTCTGAATTATATGAATGGGGCGGGGCGGAAAGTATCGTTTGTGCAGAATATGTAAAAAAAAGGAGGGACTTCGAGAGATTGAACTCGTGAGAGCTAATTTTCTCACAAATTTGATTTTATTGGCTTTCTGGGGACTGAATATACACCCAAAGCGAATTATTCCCACTTCTCTCAAATTCTATATGGATTTTTAAAACTTCCTACCAGCGTGTTCTGGAAAATGGTCGGATAATGATTAATCTCACAAATACATTCGGGCCTACAATTCCACACCTTCTATAGAGACCAGGTTAAGCCTTGATAGCTAGCTGCTTGCGGGAGCTGATGACCTTGACAAATGTCCAAATAATACTCTTAACAAATTTATGGTGGTCCTGAAAAGGACCGTTTTGTAGTGATGGTTGAGTAATCTGAGCTGAGCACGACGAGCTACTGATTCCGATCCTAGCCTAGCGGTGGGACTTCTTCCTTCTTCTCTATGGTTGCTCATATGAGCTCTGCAGCTCGCTGCTTGCAGGCAGCCTTTCGTTGTTGTTCTTGAAAGCATCGAATTCGATTTTTAAGTCTGTGTTAGGGAATGCGCTGTTTTCAGACAACAGTTGGACATTTGGTATTTTTCAATAGTGACCTATTGAAAATTAACTAAGTGTTCATTTTAGCAGATTGGTAGAATAAATTTCCAACCGTTTGGCTTGTTTAAATTAAAATCTATCTGCTATTGGTCGAAACCTGACCTCCTTTCGTAATGCTGTGCATTTTGGTTTTTTGAAATTGCGTTGATTCTATAGATCCTGTGGAGATCTATCTAGCCCTGATGTATGTTAACTTTGCGGGAGACGATGTCTAAACACTCGAAAGCAATTTTGTGAAATATGAAGTAAAACAAATCCTAGCTAGTTCTGCATGATGATTTTGTTTGATTTTATTTATTTGTAAATTCGCCGTGAAATACCAGCTGGCGACAGGCATGGAAAATCATTTGCATTCATTTCGTGCATTCATTTACATTCATTTATCCCTAACTTTTTCCAACAAAAAATTCCGCAAAATAAGACACAAAGATTTTGTTGGTTTTGTTATTAACTACAACTTTTGTTAACAACTCAAATCCGTATCTCTTATGCATGATGAACCAGAGCGAACAAAAGCCACTACTGTTTTTCAGTGAATGTATTTTACATTCACTGAAAAACAGTAACAAGTTCTGCCCGCTCTAGTTAGTGATGCATAAGAGATACAGATCTGAGTTATGAGCAAAAGTTGTAGCTAATAAAAAAACCTACAAAAACTCGATACATCATTTTGCGGAATGCTGTTGATGAACATAGTTAGAGGCAAATGAATGTAAATGAATGCATGAAATGAATGGAAATGATTTTCCATGCCTGGCTGGCGATTTGTTTTTTATGATAACTCCTTAATTGAAAACAGGCAAAAACTCACAAACAGGCTGCTTTTTCATGGTATACAGTGTGATAATTCAATAATCAATAAATTATCTCAACATTTAGTGGCAAACCATTCATAAATTTTGGTAACATACAAAAAATTCTATAATCCACATTGAATTTCATATGTAAGCACCGATTGAAACAATCTTTTCGACATCACTACAAGCACAAACGAAGTGACAGACGACTTACTGGCGAAGAAATCCATTTAAATAATGTGGTTCACTGTAATAGAATTTTCTTAAAAGCTTGTGCCATCATCCACCAGATGGGTTAGTTTTTTTGTTTTGATTTGAACAAAGTTGATTTTGTGTACAATGATGCTTTGACAGAGTGCAAAGAGTGTTTCATTTTGTCATTTTTTTTATGCATTTCCAGTTTTGAGTAGAGTGAAAGAGATAGAACCAAAACATTCCAATACATTTGGTGAAAATGCTAGTACAATCCAGTAGTAGTGTTGCCATGTGGTACAATCCAGTAGTAGTGGTGTTGCCATGTGGTACACTGAAAAATTGAAATAGCAGGTTAGTCACCAAAGTTTTCGAGCCGCTCCGTCTGTCACTTCGTTTGTGGCTGCTACTGCTGCTACTAATTTCGATGACCGAACACCACCACACAGTGGTGTGGTCGTTGGGAGCGTCTGGTTCTGAGTATGGCGATGAGTGTGTAAAATATTACGCAATTCCATCCTTCCTATTCGCACGCGCCCGAGGATCGGAGGCGAATGCCACTTCGACTTGTTTCGTCTACTTACTACTCTCTGACGACTGTGCTGGGGAAGCAGCATATGCATGTAGGTAATTGGTGGATTTGATAGTTAATTCGACGTTTTTAGACAATGCTGGACATTTATCAGTTTTTCAATAGTTTCTTGTTGAAAATCAACATTCGAAAGCATTGTTATCGATGCGTAGCCATATTTCTGATCGATTGGTGATGAAATTATTGAAATTAGACCAGGGGAAGCTGAGTTATGAACGTTCAATATCTTTCTTAATTTGTTACATGTTCCATTTTCGGTTTTCACAAAGTGTACCCCCATATAGAAATTAAAGACGAGTCCTACGTCAAAATCTTCTAGAACCTCGAGAAAATACGGTCTTTTTTTATAATAAGCAAGGAGCATTGAGCCGTTGGTCCCCGGTTCATGAGTTGATGGGTCGATAGGTAGAGTCCAGGTGTGGGAACTGTCTCCCTGGCGTCAGTAGCATCGGTGCTCAGCACGGAAAACAAGATCGACGGAAAACAAATCAAGACTAAAAAAAGGGCTCTCATTTTCCCGGGAAGCTACTTTGAACCTACACCGCACGGCAACCGATAATCCGCCGCCGCCCACTGAAACGTCAAAACAACAGTCTCAAGATGTCACGTCTCCGCACTGAACAAAAGTTTTGTTTTGATACACATTCCGAACGCTTTTGCGTTTTTGCAGAACCATCGGCATACGAATCCTACGGCAAGAAAAGTGCTCCTCTTCACCAATCACCGGTCCTGTTGGCACCACGTCGCAGCTCTTATTTCGCGGCCAGCAGCTAAGGAGGTACCCGTGTTGTTGACGGATGTGCTAGCACCCCACCGCGACCGCACACGGGTTCTGTGTGGGTGTTTTATTTAGCACGAACATATTCACGTTATTTGCGCGATCCGCGAGTGTCGTGCGTCGTCCGCCAGTCGCAGTCTGTATTTTATTCTCAGTTGGTCCGTAGCTAGCGACAGAAGCAAACACTCGATCCTACGACGACGGTACGGAGAGAAGGAAAATCATTTTCGCACTTTTCCGCCCCAGCATCGTCACCGAAAGAAAGAAAATCTCGCTGTGCTACACACAGATTCAAGTCGCAAAATCCGCGCGTGTGTGAAGTTCGGGAGGAAAAATTCCTACGACGGAAACATTTCATAACATTGGCAGTGAGAAAAATCGGAACGGGTCTTCCGGGAAACGGGAATCGGAGAGCATATCCTGGGGATTGAAAGTTCGATTTGACTGTGAAAGTGTGAGGTGCATGGAGGACGACATGACCAAGGAGGTAATTCCGGCCAGCCCGGAACGGGGCCGGGAGTTTAACAAGCTATCGCTGGTGCATCGGGTGTACTTTGCCTGCAAGGATGGATTCGCCAGGCTGTTGCTGGCCACGCTCAAGGATATCAGCTGCGAGCACGATCGGAAGGCCATCGTCGATCAGGTGAGTGTTGCCGCTTACCGTATTTGGTTGGGGCCATTCCGAGTTCGAGAAGCATCTTGAAGCTGCGGTGTGCAGTGCCGTCTTTGTAGAACCGAAGATTCACTTTCGTTTTGATAAATAGCTTGCAGTCGGCCAGTGTGGGAATTGAAATGAATTGATTGCAACAGCCATCCATCTTCGTATAGCTGATAAACAAATTTAGAATCCTTGAATAATGCATGAGATTGATCTTATGTCAGCAGCACTGCACACATTCAGCTGATTTCTTCGTACACACACGGTGCTCGCTGTTGAACGCTCGGTGTAAACCGCGACGCTGGTAATGAACTATAAAATATCCTCTCCTCTCATTTCCATCTTGGCATAGGCAATGCTAGGTCTAGAAACAACAAGATCGATACATTGCATTCACGTATCCCCTGTCCCGGTGCCCTTCCCAACTCCGTCAGTGGATGCACACGTTCGAATGTAGCGTATTTCACGTTGCGAGATTTAAATTTAAAAATTCGTCATTAGAAAACCCCATCATCTCTATCTCTCTCCCTCGCACTAGATTAAGGGTGGTGTTTTTCTTCGCCTCTCATTATAAATTATTGCGTCTGACTGCTACCCTGCTACTACAACTCGTTCGGTGACGGAAGGAAATTAAGCTAACATAATCCGTCACAGTTTTAGAAGGCCGGATTCCGAGATCAACGATCGCCAACGCTTGCAAACACTCGGTGCTGTTGAGTCACGTGGTTGACCTGATCTAGTTTACATTTAATTTTATTGATGCTCTTTTATCCGACCCGGTTAAGGGCAGTCAGGGCAGTTTTTCCCAAAATATGAGGATCAGGTTTGATCGCAGTTGAAGCTCAGTCTGTTTAACTATCCTAGCGGGTCAGGGATTCTGCTGTTCTGCCCCGAGAACAGCTGGCTCCCATTTGAAGCGCATCATCGTCGAGTGCTTTCAGAGAAAACAGAAAGGAGAATGGGAGGAAAAAAATGTGCGAACGAAAACGTAAATATATACGCAAATGCGACGTACCCATATGAGTTTTCCACCGGGTAACAAAGGTGCGTGTTGATGTTGATAGACTGATGCTATTAAACAACAAGAGAAACGCAAAATGGCAAACTGATGGTTTCTAACAGCTGTGGTGAATTTTACGTGCTGAATTAATAGTAGGTAACATCTTTTCGGCTGGTTCTTTCCATATAGGTTTTTGCGAATTTTCGTAGCCTTTGCAAATTTAGGACGTTTTTAAAACGCAAATCACCCGGCCATTTCACTGTTTTCAGTTTATGGATTGAAGTTTTCAAATATTTTTCTTTAAATCTTTAAAAAAAAACGAGAGAACATGTGCACACAGTTTGAATGCAGGTCACCGTTGCATCTCGTGGCTCGTGAAACGTAATAAAAATTTGACCATGAGAAACTGCACAACAGACATTTCAGAATTGCTCGAAGCGATTCGATTATCCTGTATTGTCTAGATCACGGGCGAGATTTATAAGAGGGAACAGAGTAGCTCTGGTAGAACACCGTTTAGTTATGGATTTACTACACGGGATAAAGGCGCCTTACTGCTCGGTAAACAAAAAGATTTCCTGTTGACTGCACTCATTGTCTGTGGTAATGGAACGAAAACACTCTCGGTTGAATGGGGTTATTACATTCACTTAAGCCGCCATGAACTCCTGGGCCTGCCTCTGCTGCGATGGCCTGCCGGGTTCAGTGCTTTCTTGCGGATTTCGGTATTGCCCTTTCATACACAGAAAAATAAAATTACTTAAAGATTGAGTTCTTTTAACTTATTTTTGGGTAATTTTGAATTTTGCATCTCACCCAGGCCAGTGACAAGGTCTATACCAACAGCAGCGTTTGACAGTAGGCAGCATGTCCCGGGCCCGCTGTCACGGTATGACATGTTGTCTACGCGCCTGCCACTGGGCTGATCTCACCCCCACACTTTTTTGCTGTCAAAAAAGAAACGAGAAGTTCGACTAACTCATGAGTATTAATAAGCTACTAGTGAGTATTTGAGGTATTCTCACATTTGAGTCCATTGAACTTAATTTTGGGTAGAATGAACTTTGTAAGTTTTTTTGACGTAGGGCTACGTCTGTGATTTCTATACGGGGGTACACTTTGTGAAAAACGAAAATGGAACATGTAACCAAATTATGAAAGATTTTGAATGTTAATAACTCAGCTGCCCCTGGACCAATTTCAATAATTTTATCACCCATCGATCAGAACTATTTCTACGCATCTGCTAAGTTTAAGACTTTATCCTTTTACAAAATGTCACTATTGAAAATTGCACGAATGTGCAACTGTTGCTATGATAATTAGAATTATCACCGATTGCCTGCGAAAAGCGATTTCCCTTACACAGATTTCAAAGTTGAACTCCATCCGGTCTCACCAAACGGCGTTTATTCAATCACCACGTGGTGAGTGGTGATGTTCTCCAGTACACAACGAAAGGCTCCCCGAAAGCAGCTAGCTATCAAGGCTGTCCTCAACCGCTGATCGGATTCAGTTCCAATCACCGTGTGTGGTGGTGTCCAGTCGTCGGCATCAGCAGCAGTAGCAGCAGTACTTTCGGCGCGTAGCGTTGAACATTGTTCTCCAGTACACAACGAAAGGCTGCCTGCAAGCAGCGCGCTACAGCCCACGTGAGTATCCATAGAAGGAGGATGAAGCCGCACCGCTATTGATCGGAATCAGTAGCTCTTCGTGAGTCGCTGTGGGCCATCTATGTCAAGCGCGTCACCCTCATTCCAAACAACATACAGCTCACCAGCCTCATCTGTGTTTAACGCCCTAATAGTTCAGCATTACTCAAACATCACGACAAAACTGTCCTTTTCAGGACCACCATAAATTTGCAAAAGAGTATTTTTTGGACATTTGTCAAGGTCATCAATCGGATGTCAGTTCCCATATCAAGCTAAGATCAAGATAGAGCTGGAATTAGGGCGTAACAGTTTTTGCAAACAATGACTTCTTTCGATGATGTCTTGAAAGTCAAGGCGCACCCACGCAAATCAACATCACCATCAGGTAGGGTAAGACTTCCCATACCCGACGGTAATGTTGGTTTACGTGGGCGTGCCTTGAATTCCTAGAAATCATCGGGAGAAGTCATTGTTTACAAAAGATGTTATGTCCTTATTCCAGTTCTATCTAGATATGTTTAAATCTAACATACCATGTATTTTAAGGCAAAATTGGGGTGCAATTTCAAAAACCAAAGTCGATCGCGGCATGAAAGTTGTCTGATTTTGATCCAGAGATGATGGATTTTAATTATTAATACGCCAATCGATAGAAATTTTTTCTTCGAATCTGTTCAAAATAAGACTCTATCATTTTTCAAAATGTCACTATTGAAAATTGTTGCTATGATAATTAAAACTATCACCGATTGCCTGCAAAAATCGATTTCCCTAACACAGATTTCAAAGTTGAATTCCATCCGGTCTCACCAAACGGTGTGTATTCAATCACCACGTGGTGAGTGGTGGTGTTCTGTACACAACAAAAAGCTGCCCGCAAACAGCAAGCCAAAGCCCACATGAGCACGAGGGGGACGACTCTATCTACGATGCAAAAAAGATTGTGTTTTGCTGTGGCTAGCTGCGCGCACGCTGAGTAGATAGAAAGAAGATTGATGACGATTCTGAAGATTTCCTGCAAAAAATTGATGAGCGATGCAAGTAGATGCGACAAATGAAAGAAGATTGTTCGAAGATTGATTCGCTAGTGTGAGATTTGTTGACCATCTAAACTTGAGATTTAGATGTGTCGCCCCCCTCGCATGAGCATCCATACACGGGAAAAAAAAGTGTTCCCATATTCGTGAACCACAGCCGTGAACCATAGTTCACGGTGTATATTTGAGAAAATTTTGTTCTGGATAGCTGGCCGTGATTTTTAGTTCACGGTCCGTTCCCGTTTTCGGGAACGGATTTTTTTCCAAGTAGGAGGAAGAAACCGCACCGCTATTGATCGGAATCAGAAGCTCTCCATCTATGCCAAGCGCGCCATACTAAAGAGTATAACCAGAGAGAACCCCGCTCAAATTCCTATTCCTACACAAAACACAAGCTACTACTGCAGTTAACAAATCAGATTTATTATATAAGACCACGTAGTCCTACGTCACCATTGCCTACAACCCCATACGGCTGTCCCTTGTAGTTTTTGCCATGGTTAAATGCAAACTGTGGAGTTGTCCCACAGCTGTCTACAGCAGCAGTCGATTTTTTATTTCGTTGTGAACCACACGATAGCCTGTTTTCGAGACTCGCTATTATATAGTTGCTCTTTGTTCGTTGCTAGCAGTTCGGTGCCTTTTGTTGCTACGGTGCAAGATGTGTGAAGTAAAAAACACCATCAAGTTTAGCTTCAGCCATTGTGATGCCAAACCAAACATCGGAGAGATAGTAAATTTCGCCAAAGCACTCGACGCGGATCCGGCTGAAATGGAAGCTGTTTATCGCATTGGTGAGGAAAGGGGAGTCTTCATGAAGTTCAAATCAGAGGAAGCGATGCTCCATGCTCTGACATTCAATTCGGAGGATTTAATCTTCCATTATGCGAATGGAACGACGGCAAAGGTACGCATGTCGCATGCTGGTGAATTCATTCAGTATGTGCGTGTGTATGACTTGCCACCAGAGGTACCCGACAACGAGCTGGATAAAGTGCTGGGGAAATATGGGAAAATTAAACGCATCATCCGGGAGAAATTTCCAACTGATCTGTGTTTTGAGGTATATACAGGGATACGCGGTGTATATATGGATGTGAAGAAGGAAATCCCCACGTCATTACATTTCTTCAATCGCAAAGGAAATATTTTTTATGATGGCAACAAAGACAAATGTTTTCTGTGCAAGGCGGACGGACACCGGAAGCTTTCCTGTCCCAAGCGGAAGGCTCGGAAGGAACCGGAGAAGCAACTGAAGGAAAAAGGAAAGCAAAGCGAAAGAAAACAAAACAG